TCGCCCAGACTGGAGTGCAGTGGCACGCTCCCGGCCACTGCAGCCTCGACCTGCTGGGCTATGGCGATCCTTCTCTGCCTCAGCCTTCCAAGTAGCTGGAACTACAGGCACGCGCTACCACACCTGGCTAATTTTTGATTTATTGTAGAGACGAGGTGTCACCAAGTTGCCCGGGTGGGTCTCGAACCTGTGGGCTCAGGCAATCCACTCGCCTTGGCCTCCCAAAGTGCTGGGATTACAGGCTGAGCCACCAAGTCCAGGCTCTAATTTTTTTTTTAAGAGACTATGTTGCCCAAGCTAGAGTGCAGTGACTGTTCACAGGCACCATCACTGAGCATGGCAACACTGAACTCCTGGACTTAAATTACCATCCTGCTGCAGCCCCCCAGACTAGCTTGTACTAGACTGCCACTGTGCCCAGCTCTGATTCATCTATCATTTGTAACAAATGTAACCACACGAATGCAAGATGGTAATAACAGAGGAAAGTGGAAATGGCACAGGGTATATGGTAACTCTACTTTTTACTCAACTTTTCTCAAAGAAAAAAAAATCAATCAATTAAAACCAACCAAATCGTATTCTGTATAGCTAAACATTTATTAAGTCTGCACTCAAGGCATCAGGAGACACTAAGGATGGTTAGGACACAGCACAGCAATGACGGATGCAAGTCAATTTAGCTACGGACTCTCCACCATTTGTCCTTCCTGGTAGACAGTGGACCAAAGACTTTTGTAAATGTATGTCCTCTTTTTTTGGCAAATTGTAGGAGAAAGAACTTTTCTTGTTTCTGTTTCTTCTCAATTGCCATCAGCTCAAAATAATACTTATTTCAAGGTGGCATATTCTGGTCTTCCATATTGTTTTCAAACCAGGTTACTTCTTCTTCCTCATTGTCATTAATCTTTTCATAATCTTCTTATTCCTGCAAGTCAAGTAGAAAACAATGGTGAAGAATTGCTAGAGTCAGATAGACTATTCCATCCCAACTCTTTAAAAATGACCAATAATGCCAGGTGTGGTGGCTCACACCTGTAATCCCAGCACTTTGGAAGGCAGAGTGAGATGACTGCCTGAGCTCAGGGGTTTGAGACCAGCCGGGGCAACTTGGTGAGACCATGTCTCTACAATCAATCAAAAAATAAGCCAGGCATGGTAGCGCATGACTGTAGTTCCAGATACTTGGAAGGCTGAGGCGGAAGGATCGCCTGAGCCCAGCAAGTCGAGGCTGTGGTGGCTGTGAACGTGCCACTACACTCCAGCCTGAGAGACAGAGTGAGACTCCAACTCAAAAAAATTTTAAAAAGTGACAAATAATGCTGTGTGTGGTGGCTCATGCCTGTAATCCCAGCACTTTGGGAAGCAGAAGTGAGAGGACTGCCTGAATCCAGGGGTTTGAGACCAGCACGGGCAACTTGGCAAGATCTTGGCTCTACAGTAAATTAAAAAATTAGCTGGGCACGGTGGTGAGCACCTCTGGTTCCAGCTACTTGGAAGGCTGAGGCGTAAGGATCCCCTGAGCCCAGCAGGTCAAGGTTGCAGTGGCTTGAGCATGCCACTGCACTCCAGCCCGGACAACTGAATAAGACCCTGACTCAAAAAAAAAAGCAAAAACAAAAACAATAAAATAAGAAATCTGCTTCTGGAGTTCTTGAGTAATTTGCCTCAAAACCAAGGAATGGTGCATAAAAAGGCTTTACTGTAGTCAACAAATGAATAGGACCGTTCATTTATTCTCAGGACTCATATTCCATATACCGCAATGTGTCTCGTTTCCTTCATCTTTTTTTTTCTTTCTTTTTGTAGAGATGGGGTCTCACTATCCTGTTCTCAAACTCCTGGGCCCAAGCGATCCTCCTGCTTCAACCTCCCAAAGTGCTGAGATTAGAGGCGTCAGTCACAACGTCAGCCCTTTTATCTTCACACTCTCCATCCTGTCTCCTCTTTCCAGGTTCCACTAATGAAGATGGTCAATATGTCCTGCTCCTAGTTCTGCACATGCTCTGCTCCAATTTACTTTGATCACACTTCGGTTTATGACCCTCTCAGCTGACTCTCCAAAAGGTCACCGGTGGCGTCCTAACTGGCCAGTCCAGCGGCACTGCCCTCATTACCGTTCATGGCCATCTCACTGTCGGCTGTTTCTTCCTTTCACATCTCTCTGCCCGCTGCTGTTTTACTCACGGCCAACCTCTAACTGTACTTGTTCTGTCCTCATGGTCCACTTCCACTGATATGCTGATTCTCTCTAAGGTTCCTTCTTCAGTCCCTTCTTTTAAGCTCTTATCCACAATGCATATGCAGATGACTCCCAGAGATGTTTATCTCTATCCCATACTTCTCTCTAGAACATGTCCCAAGTAGTTCCAAGTATCATATATTTTTCTTCATTGAACTGGACTTCTAGTTTCCTCTCTCTTTTTTTTTTTTTGAGACAGTCTTACTCTGTCGCTCAGATTAGAATGCAGTGGCAAGATTAAGACTCACTGCAGCCTCAAACTCCTGAGCTCAAGCAATCCTCCTGCCTAAGTAGCTGGAAATATTTACTATTGCACCACCACATCCACCTTACTTTTTAATTTTTTGTAGAGGCAAGGTCTCTCTATGTTGCCAAGGCTGGTCTCAAAACTGTGTTCAAGCAATCCTTCTGTCTTGGCCTACCAAAGTGCTGGGATTACAGGTGTGAGTCACCACACCCGTCCTCCTCTATTTTATAAAACAGCATCTTGTTTACATCACTCCTACATCTCTTAAATTTGTATCACTTAGCCGGGCTGGGTGGCTCAGCCTGTAATTCTACGCTTTGGGAGGCTGAGGTGAGTAGACTGCCTGAGCCCAAGGGTTCAAGACCCGCCTGGGCAACTTGGTGAGACCACATCTCTACAATAAATCAAAAAATTAGCCGGGTGTGGTAGCGCGCGCCTGTAGTTACAGCTACTTGGAAGGCTGAGGTGGAAGGATCACCGGAGCCCAGCAGGTCGAGGCTGCGGTGGCTGGGAGCGGCCACTGCACTCCAGTCCGGGTGACAGAGTGAGAATCCAACTCAAAAAAAAAAACAAAAACAAATTTGTATCACTTTTCGTTAAATTATTTCTCAGGGTAATGAATTATCTCTTTCCTGAATTATTACAATAGTCTCTTATTTATACTCCAATCTAGTCTCTGTTGCAAGCTTTTAGCCCACTTTCTTTGTTTTTGTTATTTTTTTTGAGTTGGAGTCTCACTCTTTGTCACTCAGGCTGGAGTGCAGTGACAGGCTCAAGGCCACCACAGCCTCAACCTGCTGGGCTCAAGCAATCCTTCCACCTCAGCCCTCCAAGTAGCTGGAACTATAGACGCACACCATCATACCCGGCTAATTTTTGTGATTTATTGTAGAGATGAGGTCTCACCAATTTGCCCAGGCTGGTCTCAAACCCCACGGCTCACGCAATCCTCTTGCCTCGGCCTCCCAAAGTATTGGGATTACAGGCTGAGCCACCACACCCAGCCTAGCCCACTTTCTCAAAAAGGAAAAAAAGTGTATGACCATAACATCCTGAATGTGGTCAATCTCATCCAAAAACAAAAAATAAAATTTAAGTTCTTTTTTTTGAGTTGGAGTCTCACTCTGTCGCCCAGACTGGAGTGCAGTGGTCGCTCCTGGCCACTGCAACCTCGACCTGCTGGGCTCCGGCGATCCTTCCACCTCAGCCTT